CGCGGGTGGGGCGGCCCCGAGTCCCGCGGGCGGCCCGGGCAACTTCCCTCCCTCCTCACAGGTCACCGTCGTGGGCATCGTCCGGCACGCGGAGAAGGCGCCCACCAACATCCTCTACAAAGTGGATGACATGACAGCAGCGCCGATGGACGTCAGGCAATGGGTTGACACCGATGTAAGCATCGGATTTGCTCTGAACACACTTCTTTGGCAGCCTTTGAGAGCAGTGGGGAGAGAAAAGTTATAGAATAGTACAATGTCTCAACTGGAAGGGACCTGTAAGGACCAGCTCCCTGCGTCTCACAGAGGTTTTTTTATCAAAAAGATGTAGCTTTTCTGAGAAGTGTTTTAGGAATAATATGTCCCTGAAATCCAAGGGAGATGCTGCTGTAACAGAGGTTACTCACTGTCCCCTCAGCTGTTTCTTACAGCTGAGCTCAGTTGAATAGCTTTGGGAGGGTAGTAAGGCAGAGATTCAGTTGGCTTTCTGCAAGTTTATCCTGAGTTCAGAAATGGCTCTGGCCTGCCCCATTCCCTAGCCAGGTTATGGAATTGAACACCTGCTTTTTTACTATTCAAGAGTCTTTTCCTCTTGTTGCTCTGACAATCTCTCATAAGCGGACAGAAACAGCAGAGCAGACAAGTGGCTCTGACTGCTCTCCAGTGTGTAAATTTATTTTTCATTTACAATTATGTTTATCTAACTGCTCTTACTGGACATAGGAATGCACGTTGTTTGTGCTTGCTTGAGATGAGCCTTCTTTGCTGAGTCATTTATTGTGATAATTGAGAAATGGAAATGTGAATCAGCAAACCTCTTTCCTTTCCCTCTTTTAGGAGGCAGGAGGTGAGAATGTTGTGGTACCTCCAGGAACTTACGTCAAAGTAGCTGGTCACCTCCGTTCGTTCCAGGTAAGACCATGTCACCTGTGTCTGAGTCCGGGCCAAGAAGGATTGGAGATCTGGCTCAGTGTTAGTGGGCTGCTTTAGCATATCCACTTAATCATGGTCTCTTGCTTATCCTTTCCTCTGGACAAATCCTTCAGTGTCTCTGCCAGGGCTGTATTAATAACACTCTTAATTGTTCCTGAATGCAGAGAACCATTTAAAATGAGGACTCACTTAAAATGCCCCTCATCATCAATGTGTTGTTTTCAGCAGAGCAGAAGGCCATCAAGTTCTGGGGTGTTTGTACTGTTGAGCTTAGACCAGGTTCTGGTTCATGGGGACACTTCTTGTAGCACATTATGTGATGTGGTTGCCTCATAACTAAATATTCAAGTCATGGTGCATGCATTAAAGGAAAGTCCAGCTGGTTAGAAGGAGAAGTGACTCTATCTCCATTGCTTTACAAAATCACATCTGAAAACATGTTGTAGTGTAACTCTGGAGGGCACCTGAGCCCCTCCTCCTCCCCCTGCTGCTGCTCACTCACTCCTGGTGGGATGGGGGAGAATCAGAAAGGTCAAAGTGAGATAACCAGTGAATTCAGATAGGGGAAGTTTAATAAGTAAAGCAAACCAAGGAATTCATTCTGCACTTTCCATGGGCAGGCAGGTGTGCAGCATCTCCAGGAGAGCTGGCTCTTCACGTGGAACAGTGCCTGGAGCAGACAAATGCCATCAGTCCAAACATCCCCTCTTCCTCCTCCTTTCCCCGGCTTTATATACTGAACATGACACTGTATGGTCTGGAATATCCCTTGGGCAGTCCCAGCTGTGTCACCTCTCATCTCCTTGTGCCCCCCCCAGCCTAACACCAGTGGGGTAGTGTGAGAAGCAGGAGAGCCCTTGGCTCTGTGCAAATGTTGCTCAGCAACGACTAAAACATCCCTGTGTTACCAGTACTGTTTCCAGCACAAGTCCAAAACCAGTCCATGCTACACTATCCTAGCCAAAAGCAGCACAAGACGAAGGTCGGAACACTGTGGACTAGCTGCGTGCAGAGAAGCTCTCGTTCCACCACTGTCCTATTCCTGGAGGGAATGGCTGGGTTGGTTGTTTTGCATCTTCCTGTTGCTGTGATGTAAATTGTTTTCTTTGTTTTGTGGTGGTTTTTTTTTCCTCTGAAAGAATAAGAAGAGCTTGGTGGCATTTAAGATCATGCCTCTGGAAAATATGAATGAGTTCACCACACACATACTAGAGATTGTCAATGCACATATGACCCTCAGAAAAAATCTTATGGTATGTACAAAGATCCCAATTCCATTGTGGCCCTTCCTGGGTGATGGTGATTTCCCAAAGAGGGACCTTTGGCTTTGCTGGGGAAATTGTGGGTCTGGAAAGCTTAAAGCTGGGTTACAGGGAGGGTGTAACAGAAGTCCTGGCTTCCTTGGAGAGAGATTGTGTTGCAGTCCAGTTCCATGAGAAGCTATTTTAAATTACTGTCTCAGAGCCTTTACCGCCGTGGGTTTGGCAGGCAGGTGACCACAGCACTTCTCTCACGATTTCAGTCAGCGTCGAGTGCACCGCCGTCGTTCCCCTCCGCTGGGATCAGTGACATGAGGGGCTATGGAGGAGGTGGCAGCCTGCCAGTGAACGGGCTCACGGCACACCAGAGCCAGGTGGGTGCCAGCAGCTTTTCTGGGAGCACAGCAGTGGCAGTGGAGGCTGCCGGGGGGTGATGTGTGATGTGGGGCAGGGAAATGCAAGTTCCATCACTTTTTGAAGACAATGGATCTGCTCAGCCTTGCTGACAGAGAATCTGAGCTCTGTGCTAATGGTGGTTCTTGCTTCTCCAGGTACTGAACTTGATAAAAAGCTGCCCTGTCCCAGAAGGTATGAGCCTGCAAGAGCTGAAACTTCAGCTCCGCAGTATGAGCATGTCAACGATCAAGTAAGTGTGTAGAAATGAAGAGTATTCTGGAAATCCAGGCAGTCCTTTCAGAGGCAGAGAGGACAGTGGACAAGGCCAGACACTCACCTGTGAATCAGTGTGGGTAATCCAGGTGGCCCCAGCAGCACAGAGCAGTGAGACAGTTTTTGAAAGCTTCACAGCCCTGAATGAGCCATTGCCAGTTGAAGGTGTGACAAATGCTTTGCTCCCCTGTTTTCAAAACAATCTGTTTATCAGTTCAGTGGCAACAGGTACCTGGGTGTACTGCAGTGCTTTGACAGTATTTCTCCTGTTCAAGGACTACCTTGTTCTCTGCACACTGAACACTTAGGAATATTCTGTTCTGTTCTCCTTTGCTATCACTTATAACTTTTCCTTGAGGCCTAGAAACATAGTCATTAACATCCATGACCTGCTTTTACTTGGGAAGTACAGAGAGTGGTGGCCTTCTCCCCTGTGACAGACAGAGTCTGAGCTGTGGGGGGAACACCTTGTCACAGCTTTGGAGAAACTCCGTGCCTCACTTACACTGCTCACAGGACAGAGCTATCAAGAGCTTCCCTTGGCAGCTGCCAGGAGGGAACTGTGGGGATGGGGTCTGTAAATGGGAAATCCCTGGCAGAAAGGTGGTGACATTTGCTAATTAATTGCTAACTGGTTATCAATTGTGGGGTTTTCTTCAAGGCAAGCCGTGGAATTCCTCAGCAGCGAGGGACACATCTACTCCACAGTGGATGATGATCACTATAAGTCAACAGATGCTGAGTGAAGTTCCCTCCAGCTAATTTTAGTTCCAAAAAATGCTTGTCTATGTTTCAAGATACCCTGCCAAGCTCAGTGACATGGAGGGTGATCTTTGCTCTTTGTAGAAGGTCCCAGTTACTCTGTGAATACCTCCTCATGGAATTCCAGGACAAGCAGAACGTACAGGATTCTGTTAACTGGACTTGATTCTATGCTGTGACCATGTAACTGAAAGCCTAGACACAGGAAAAGTGAACTCCTCAAAGCTTCAGAACCTTCATTTTGTTTTGGCTCCTTAAAAGATACCTGTTAGAAAGAGGAGCCTCTTTCTAATCTTTGTTTCTAAAGCTGTTTCTCCTAACTCAGCTTCCCTTCTTTTCGTTCACAAAGTGGGTAGCCATTCCACTAATGTACAGCAATCATGAAAAGATTTTTTTATTTTTTAGTTTGTGCATTTAAATCTATATTTGTACTAGAGGTGATCTTGTTTCTAGAGCTTTTGAACATTTCCAATAAAACTGTAACTTGGGGAGCCTTGCCTGCATGTGTGACTCGAGGCTTTTCTGCCCTGAAGAAGGAAACCATCTGCTTGACAAAACCTGGGAGTAAAAGCATACCTCATACTTAACTATCCTTATTTTTTCTTTAGCTTTTTGCTTTGAAAGGTCAAACTGAAATGAGTGTCTGGACAGTAAGAAATTAAATAATTGTACTACAGCAGAAACCAGTATGTTGTATCAGTGTTACAGATAGGGCCCAAATCATTTCTGCCACCAAAACAGGCTCCCCAGGGCAATGGGCACAGCACCAAGGCTGCCAGCGCTCAATCGGATAAAACAGCGCTGTGCTGCCCGCGCTGAGGGCGGGCGAAGGCAGGGACCCCCAGCTCTGCGTGGTGCTGTTCTGGCTGGACCGGAGCTCCAGCCTGTCCTGCCGTGGCTGCTCCACAGCTCATCCCCCGTGTCCCGGCCCCCCCAACCCTCTGTGGCGGGGCCAGAGCGAGCGGAGGGGCCGTGGAGCAGGACAAGGCTGGGGAGCACAGCCGGACACAGCGGAGGGCCGTGCTGCGAACCCCCGGCACTCCCGTCCCACTCAGCCCCGGCGGGCCTGGGCTGCGTGTCACGGCGGTCCCGCGGGGAGCCGGGGCTCCGTGGGGGAACACGCGAGTGTGGGGCTGGGGGCGGCTCGGCCCCGGTGTAGCAGAACCGCAGCCAGGAGATGCCGCTTCCCTGGAGGGGCCGAGGCGGCTCGGCCGGGCCGGGCCGGGCCTGCGGCGGGAGCGGGGCCGTGAGGGGCGGGACGGAGAGCGGGGCGGGGCTGGGGGCGGGACGGAGAGCGGGGGCGGAGGGGGCGGGGCCCGCGCGGGGTGCGGTCCGGTCCGGGCCGGGGCGGGTCCCGGTCCCGGTGCCGCTGCCGGGCGGGTCCCGCTGTCCATGTCCCCCCGGGCCGCCCCGCCGCGGTTTGGGCCGCTGCAGTTGGCGCTGGCGGCGGCGGGGACGGCGGCGGCGGCGCTGGATCTGTTCATGGACGGGTGGGTGGCGGCGGAGTACGTGCGGCGCGGGCAGCCGGGCTGGGCCGCGCTGTCGCTGTCGCTGCTCGCCGCTGCCTCGGCCGCCGCCCAGGCCTGCAGCTGGCTCTGGCTGCGCTCCGACCCGCCCGCGCTGCGCCCCGCCGTGCCCACCGCGCTGCTCGCCGCCTTGCACCTCCTGCAGCTCGGCTTTCTCTTCAGGTACGGCAGCCCCGCTCCGGCTTCCCGCGGCCTCGGGCATCCCCCAGGCACCCCCCCTGCCCACCCCCGGGCATCCCCCGGGCATCCCCCGGGCATCCCCCTGCCCACTCCCGGGCATCGTCCCCGCTCCGCCCCAGCCTCCCCTCACCCCCCCGGGTGCCCCTCACTCTGCTCCAGCAGGGGAGGACGAGGGTCCCGGCCCCCCGCAGCTGCCGGGCTGCCCGGGGTGGGGTGAGCGGTGCCCCGGGGGGATCGAGGGGCTCCCGGGCAGAGCGGTTCGGCCCAGCCCCGCGGCGGAGCCGCCTGTGTCCTTCCAGCTGAAGCTCTCCCGGCTCAGCTCTTGTCTCCCGGTGCTGTCGCCGCTGCTGGAGCCCTCCGACCAAGCGGAGCGAGGCCCCGCATCCTCGTCTGAGCCTTGGCACTCCCGGGAGTTCGGGGGGCGCGGCGGGGCCTCCCCTCCCGGGGGCAGGAAACGATCCTGGCAGGTCCTCTGAGGGCAGTTCCCTGTTTGACACTTCACACGTGGCTGGGCATCGCGTGGCTCCTGTGGTGCCTGGTTTGGGGAGGGGGAAGGAGGGGTTTGAGTATAAATTGGAGGGGTTTGTTGTCCTGCCGGGACAGCGTGAGGACCGAGGGGCTTGTGTGGCCCCTCACCACTGGCTGGGTCCCCACACAGGTGCCTCCACGCTCTGAAGGTGGGCTGGAAGGTGTGCTGGGCGAAGGCAGAGGAGGAGGAGGAGCAGAGACACATGGCCTTCCTTTCCCACGACATCAGCATGCTGCGGCTCTTCGAGACCTTCCTCGAGAACACCCCGCAGCTCACCCTGCTCCTCTACATTATCCTTCAGACAAACAAGGCCGAGATCTCCCAGGGTGAGGGGTCTGGGGCCAGGGGAGGGGACTGTGGGGGTGCAGGCTTGGGATCAGAGTGGGCTTGGATGGGACAGACCGGATGGGCTGTCCGGGGGCTGCAGGACCCCACAGGACACTTGCTTGAAGGGTCATTCTGCTCCCATGTTACACAGGAGGGTGAACCTCCTGCTGCAATGGACCGTGCTGGGCTCATGGTGGGAGGATTGGAGCTGTGGCCACTGTGGTCATTTCCTTACATCCCCCAGGAGAGGCTGAGGGTCAGGCTGGGGAGCAGGGAGATGCCAATGTGGGTGTAGGTGGAGGACAGCCTGCCTGTGTGGGCTCTGCAGGGCTACTCAGTCCCAGCACTTCTTCTTCACCTTCTGGGGAAGGCCAGCACCAGCCTCCTCCTCGGGGAGGGCAGAAGGCTGAGGGAGAGAGGGGTGCTGAGGCTCTGACCCTGGCAGCAGCAGCTCAGTGAGCGGGGGGCAAGCTCCTTGTAGCAGCACCAGGCAGGGGAAGGTTTGAGCCAGGCTGGGCCCTGTCTCGGTCTCCCCTCAGCATCTCCATCTCTGTTTGCAGGCCTGGGGATTGGCACTGCGCTCCTGTGTGTGTCCTGGTCTCTGCTGGACTACCACCAGTCCCTGCGCTCCTTCTTGCAGGACAAGTACGAGCTGAGCCGGGGCTCCTCCATCATCTACTTCCTGTGGAACCTCTTCCTCATCTGTCCCCGCATCCTGGCAGTCGCCCTCTTTGCCCTGCTCTGGCCCTACGGTGTGGCTGTCCACTTCCCACTCGTGTGGCTGGCCATGTTCCTCTGGGTCAGCCTGCAGGGCACAAACTTCATGGAATCACCTGGCCCTGAGCAGCTTTACCGGGCCATGGTGGCTGTGATCCTCTACTTCAGCTGGTTCAACGTGGCGCAGGGGAGGACGCTGCACCGCAGCATCATCTACCACAGCTTCATCCTGGTAGACAGCACACTGCTGGCCCTCTCTTGGCTCTGGGGCCAGGCCCCCTCTGAGGACCACTGGTACCTCCTCCCAGTGGTCTCTGCCGCCCTGCCCTGCTACCTGCTGGGACTGGGGCTGAGGGTCACCTACTACAAGTGGCTGCACCCCAACAGGCAGGTGCAGCAGGAGGATGGCTATGACGAGGTAGATACCAATGAAGGGAGTGATGGGCTGGAGTTTCACTCGTTCTCTCAGGCGGACCTTGTGAACAGGCGGATGCAGTGCCTGGCCCAGATCCAGTTCCCTGTCTCCCAGCTGGCACGGCAGCGCTTCCTGAATGGGGCTGCTGCCCTTGAGTCTGCTGCCTGAGGGCAACTCCTCCAAAGGGACATGCAGGGGAGGTCTATTTGTTAGTTGTGGTCCTGGTTCTGCTTCCCCAGGCTGTTGTTTTGGGCAGCTGGAGAGACCTGGCAGGAATGAGGGATGATGTGGAAATGCCCAAGGAGTCCCACGGCACACAGCATGGCTCCCATGGCTGCACCCTCAAGGAAAGCCACGGTGTTGTGGCAGGTCCAGCACATTGTGGCATGTGGCAGGTCCAGCATGGGTGCGGTGCTGTGTCAGCTTTCCTTGTTATTTATTATTAGCTTGTTCAAAAGAAAAACCCCAAGAGCACTGGTTTGTTCTCTCTGTGCCTCTCCTGTGCCTGCTGCTGCCGTTGCTGCGCAGGGATGTGGGAGCTCGTTTCCTCCATGGCTATGGCTATCTGACCTTTGTTTCCAGACAGAGTTTTCTTCCTGTGTGTGTTAGTTTTGGTATCAAGGTCAAAGCTTACCTGTTATCACCATGTTCGGGGAGGGATGGGAAGGAGGCCTGTGCTGACAGAGTGGCTGCAGGGTGGCTTGGTGCTTCTGGCTTATTATGGACACCTCATGCTCCCTTGGCTGCCATTCCCACCACCACACCCTGGGCAGTGCTCCTAATGCCATAGCCAGGCTGCAGTTGGCCATGGGCAGTTCTCAGCCGTAGGTGGCTGTGCATGTGGTCAGTTGTGAGGCTGTGCTGGCACCTGGGCACAGACACCCACCCAGCTCCCAGGCAGGGCAGTCCTGAAATTGGTGCCAAAACCGAAGCAGGCCCCAGAGCAGCCTCTGCCTCTTTTGCTGTTGCCCAGTTGGCAGCTGTGGCATGTCCTGGTTGCCCAAAGCATTGACTCCTGGCCCCTTCCCCTTGCCTCCATCACTCCCCCCCCAGCAGGACCCAGCCTAGGAGGGGAACCCCATCCCAGGGAAGGCAGCAGGATGCAGCTGGAGGAGCAGCTGTGAAACAGAGTTCAGCTGCTCCTCCAATCAGCCCGTGGCCAAGGCCAGCAGCTCTGCAGCACAGGCTGGGAGGAGGGGGGTTTGATGGCCTTGTGCAAAAGAAATGGGAAGGGAAGGTTTGTTCAGGGAGCACTGTTTGCCTGCCCTGGGCACCTCAGCAGAGCCCAGGAACCAGTCCCTGCCCCACTGGCTCCCCAGGACTCCCCAGAGGCTGCATTGTAACCTGCCAGTGCCACCAAACCTGGCCCAGGCTGTCACAGGGGCAGGGACTGACACAGGGGGCAGAAAACAAGCTGAAGCAGTCACTACAGAAAATAAAGACTTTATTATTTTTTTTTTCCAGTTCATAGGACAGTTCCCATTACAGACTATGAACAGGCAGAGACCCCACAGCCAGCAGTGCCCGGGACTCACCCCTTGTAGCACAGCAAGGACTGCTCTGGACTCCAGGGGTCTTGCCCACCACTGCCAGCACAGACACCTCCCCCGGGGCTCTCAGAGGCAGCAAATATTAGTGGATCAGGTGGTTTTTAAAGCCTCCGTGGCTGTGGTGAAGCTGCAGGGGAGGCTGGCAGCACCCAGGTGAGCTCAGGTGCCCCAGGCCCACAGGCTGACTGTCCTTCAGATGTTTGAGTTTGCTCTTCCATTAGCCTACCTGGCTGTAGCTGAACTGGTGACAGACAGGAGAAAAATCAATACTTGGATAGAGGTGCTGTTCCTGCCTCATGAGAGACAGGAAAAGGCTTAAATTCAGCCAACAGAGGAAAAAAATAAAATAGCCAGGTCACCCTTTATTAACAAACACAGAAATGTACCATCAACCTCCTGTTATAAAAGTACTTTACATACATTCAAGGAAACATCGTATAAATATCAGTATGAAATGTCAGTGGCTGCAAGTTCCACACTCAGCTAAAATTTTACCAACATCTTAAAATTTTCTTAAAACATTTGGAGGTAAACAAACAAAAAGCACAGCCAGCTGCCAGGTGGCTCAGGCCCACAGGCCCAGCACCCATTGAGAATGCCTGGGCAAACCCAGCCCCTCCTCAGCACAGCTCTCACCAGCTGCTTCCCACGGGAGCAAAGCAAAGGGGCTACTTGGCCGTGCCAGTGGTGGGAGGTTAAGGCACAGGTTTTAATCCCAACGTTTAGCCAGCCAGAGTACAAGACGTGCTCCCAACAGGCTGCTGCACAGCTTGGGACAGCTCCCAAGCCTGCTTACAGGAGACCTTTGGATGGACTGGGACTCACTGAGGGATGTTCAGGATCCCACACAGACTCTTCTGTGACTCCAGGTAAGTCCTGATCCTCTGGTGATATTTCCAACCCTGGGAGCAACGGGGCTGCTCCTCAGCACAGCTCTGGCTGGCACAGTAACACACTTCACAGGGACCCCAGAGGAACTGGATCTGTGGACCCAGCAGTCATTGAGCTGGAGCTGCTCCAGCTGCCTGGAATAGGTGGTAACACACCTGAGCTCTCCATCTGGTACAGACAGAGAACATCCCTGGGGACTCCTGCTCCCCTCTCCAAACCTGCTGCTAACACCCCCAGCACAGCCCCAGGGCTCTCCTGGGCCAGCAGCCCCAAGGGCAGCCAAACACCTCCCCCTCTGCTGAGCTGCCCAGTGACACCCACAGCAGACACCTGTCCTCAGATTCCCCTCATGGGGTGAGTGGTCCTGCTGCTCGTGGGCAGCAGCTCCCACATAACAGTGCATTCCTGCTGCAGAGCTCCTGGGGAAATATGCAGACCCAGTATCCATCTGGGATCAGAGCAAAAGGCCAACACCTGACAAGGAGCTGGATGGAAAGCTGATCACTCCCAACTCCTGTGACCACCTTGGAAAAAGAATCTCCTTTGATTCCAATTTAATTAAAAAAAAAAAAAAACACAAAAGGAAACTGGAGCTAGGACAATATGAAACAGAGCTCCTGGGTCCACTTCCTAAGCACTGGGGATCCAAACCCCTGGCTCTAGGCACCTTCTCCCCAGTGGTCACTGGAGATGGCCCAGGAACAGATGTTCCCAGGGCACAGCAGAGCCTGCACTGATGGAAATATCCCTCAGTAATTAATGCCATGGAAGGAATGCAGCAAATACATCCCTTGTGTGGGTACAGCAAGTGGGTCAGTGTCCCCCCTGCAGTGACAGACTTCCAGCCCAGTCCCCTGTGGGTCCCAGACAGGTGACGTGGGGCTGGGACCAGCAATCTGGAGGGGTCTGGGTGCAGCCACAGGTCTGGCTGGGGTGCAGCACACACCCGTCCTCAGGGCAGGAACCCCAAGCACCTGCTGATCTGGTGCCATCGGGGTGCAGGGGGAGGCAGATGTCACCAAACACAGCCTGACCTGGCACAAAACCAGCCCCTATGCCAGCCCCAGTCCCTAGTTGGCTGTTCCTTGCCAGGGGAGCTGCAGGTCACTGGCTCCAGTCTCTTTTCTGAGACAGAGGCAGAAAAATCAGCATTGCCATTCCTCTCAAGGCCAGTGTGCTCCAGGCTGCCAAGTCACAGTGTCTTGGAAAATAAAGTCCCTCTTAACAAGGCATTTGTTTCTCACTATGTAGTTAGGCTAATGCAAAGAAGAATATAAGAAAACTGAATCTGATTCTACTAAAAGGAGCTTTTTCTCACACATGGAGTCAGGAATGCAGAGGTGAAGGTTAAAAACCATAGCCAGAGCCTTCTCTGTAACATTCATGAGGATTTAGGAATTAGATTATTCCTAGTCCAGGTGAGGACTCTGTTCACATCTGAGCAGTCTGCACTAGTCTGCCATACCTGATGTTCACAGGCAGTTTCATTTTCCTTTACAGGGAAAATCTGTGGGATCTACGGTCCAGGCCAAGGCTGGAATCCAATGGTCTCCTGCTGGCTAACAGGACTTGTACACACATTGACTAGAAGCCACCAGGATAAACTCAGAACACCAACATTTGCCTCTACAAGGAACCACATATCCCAGAAGCGTTCCCTTATTTTTCTGTTTTCCAGTAATCCCACATTGAGGAAATAAGGACATTGTAATAAATTAACTGCTTTGAACACACAGGAAAGGAGAGAGGACACATTTTACAGCAATAGAGGTATTTTTGACATTTTCATTAATATTTCCCATGAAAAAAACCCATAGCTCTTCGGCTTTGCAAAACAAGGAAGGTTCAGCTCTGCCATCAGCATTTTCCTATAAAAATAAGGTTTTATGTGTACTTGGGTTCTACAACTAAGCTGAATAGAAAGGAGAGGGCTCTTACAAATACTTCTGCTGTTGTATGGCCCCTCCCTCTGGAGACACCTGCCAGAAGCATTCAGCTGGCTCTGTAAGTCCCTTCTGGCAGACAAGCTGTAGCCCTGCTGAGTCTAGGGCTCCTTTGCAGGACACCTCTGGGACTTGGCAGGACTCCTGAGGAACGACCTGCTGTCATGTTCCACTGTAGATTTTGCATCAGGTATGTTTTCTTCATCAAGCTGAAAAGTGAATCCTCAAATGTGTGAGATTTCTGCCTCTCCAGTGATGGAGAGAGCTCACAGGAGCTGCAGTCTCACCTCTGTTCCAGCTTCTTACAGGAAGTCTAACTCAAGGGCTTGGTGAAGGGACACGAGGTCGGCGTGATTTGTGATCCTCCAGAACGGCATGTTGTGCTGTGACAAAGAGAGGACAGTCAAGTTTATCAGGGATTTTCAGCTGAGGTGGAAGCAGCCAGGGTACAGCTGCAGGGCTGTGCAGTGTGGTGGTTCTGAGCACACCACGCTCAGGATGGATATTGGCCACCTGCACATCTGTATCTTATCTGCACATCTGTGTATGACAGGTACCAGCACTGACTGTCAGCTGCTCACGATAAAAACCTTGGCTGTGAGCTGCTGCTGAATCCAGGAATGCCTGCCCAGGGCTCCCAGGGAACCCGCACAGGTGGCAGCTCTGGCACATGGCAGAACCTGTGAAGCCTGCAGACAAGGTCCTGACAGTCGTCCGTGCACTTCACTGTTGTTAATTAGCACAACTGAACAACTCACCTAGGCCTGTCCAAATCAATCAAACTGCTCCTTGTTTGTAATCCAGACTAATGGCAGGTGCTGTAATGATGTGCTGCTGCCACTGAGCCCTGACTCCTCTGTGCTCCTGAGAAACTGCATTATCCTGATAGCCACAGGCTATGATCAGGACACAGAATCATCCAGGGTGGAAGAGACCTCCAAGATCAGAGTCCAACCTCTGAACATGCTACATCCAACGTGCTGCACCAAGACACTGCTTACAGGGACAGTGTTATATGCAATCGTAAACAACAGTAAAACAGAAACTTTAAACCCCCAAGAGCCAGAAAACAGCCCATCTTAACATGTGGAAGATCTCTTGCATCAAAGACAAACTTTGCCCCTGGCTGCCCCAGCCTGAATTGTTCAGCCTTGGAACAACAGTCCCTGCAGGCAAAGCCTGCTGCAGTGACTTCCCTTTGTATTGCCCCCCAGCCACCTCTGCAGTCAGACCCACCTGCTTGGCTGCCACCTCCTCGTCGCGCCCGTCCCCGATCACCACGTAGGTGACCTTCTTCCCAAACCGCGACACGATCCTCTCGAAGCAGCTCTCTTTACCTGCCAACACAACCCAGTGTTGAGGAGCCTTAGGCAGAGAGAAATGGGAGTCTGAACAGGTCCCTTCCTTCCAGAGACACATTCTTGTCTTACTGGGAGGGGATAACACCCAGTTTAGCTCCTGAGCCAGAAGCCATGACCAGCTGGACCACAGCATGAAATGGCACTTCCCACGTAAAACTCCCTGCTAATCCCCAGCACATGCTGCAGTGCCAGAGACTTGGCACAACCCCTTACCTATTTTTGTAGCACTGTAAATATTTTCAATGGGAAACACTTCGCCCAATCCATACAGGAGAACTTTGGCAAGAGCTGGCATCAATTGGGTGGTTGTGATCAGGATGTTCTCACAGTTTTTTCTAAAAGAAGAAAAACACTTGTTACTGCACATCTGTAGCCAGTGGTGCCACGGCTGCTCCAGGCAGCCTGCTCGGCTTTCCCAAGTGCCACATGCTTTGCTGTCCTGCTCTCAGGAGGCTTTTTAGGCCAAGGTTTCGTGATTTTTGCTTGTTTACTTCTGGAAGAATTCTCTGGCAGAAAAGTAATTTGGTGAGCATGGGGACCTTCCTAATTACAGGCGTTGCAGCAAAGAAATCCTAAAGGGTGCTCAGGGATGGAGTTCTTGCAGTCAGACACTTTGCCTCTCAGCAGCAGTGCTGCACGCGGACCCAAGGGCTGTGAAAGCCACGCACGCACTTCCAGGTTCCATACCTGGACTGGATGAGCAGCAGGGACTT